GTGTGCTGTTTCACATTCTGTGTGTTGTTTTTCATTCCGTGCTGTTTCACATTCTGTGTGCTGTTTCACATTCTGTGTGCTGTTTCACATTCTGTGTGCTGTTTCACATTCTGTGTGCTGTTTCACATTCTGTGTGCTGTTTCACATTCTGTGTGCTGTTTCACATTCTCTGTGTTGTTTTACATTCCGTGCTGTTTCACATTCTGTGTGTTGTTTCACATTCTGTGTGCTGTTTTACATTCTGTGTGCTGTTTCACATTCTGTGTGCTGTTTCACATTCTGTGTGCTGTTTCACATTCTGTGTGCTGTTTCGCATTCTGTGTGCTGTTTCACATTCTGTGTGCTGTTACACATTCTGTGTGCTGTTTCACATTCTGTGTGCTGTTTCGCATTCTGTGTGCTGTTTCACATTCTGTGTGTTGTTTTACGTTCTGTGCTGTTTCACATTCTGTGTGCTGTTTCACATTCTGTGTGCTGTTTCACATTCTGTGTGCTGTTTCACATTCTCTGTGTTGTTTTACATTCCGTGCTGTTTCACATTCTGTGTGCTTTTTCCCAACATTCTGTGTGCTGTTTCACATTCATTGTGCTGTTTCACATTCTGTGTGCTGTTTTACATTCTGTGTGCTGTTTCACATTCTGTGTGCTGTTTCACATTCTCTGTGTTGTTTTACATTCCGTGCTGTTTCACATTCTGTGTGCTGTTTCACATTCTGTGTGCTGTTTCACATTCATTGTGCTGTTTCACATTCTGTGTGCTGTTTTACATTCTGTGTGCTGTTTCACATTCTGTATGCTGTTTCACATTCTGTGTGCTGTTTCACATTCTGTATGCTGTTTCACATTCTGTGTGCTGTTTCACATTCTGTGCGCTGTTTTACATTCTGTGTGCTGTTTCACATTCTGTGTGCTGTTTTACATTCTGTGTACTGTTTCACATTCTGTGTGCTGTTAAACATTTTGTGTGCTGTTTCACATTCTGTGTACTGTTTTACATTCTGTGTGCTGTTTCACATTCTGTGTACTGTTTTACATTCTGTGTGCTGTTTAACATTCTGTGTGCTGTTTCACATTCTGTGTGCTGTTTCACATTCTGTGTGCTGTTTCACATTCTGTGTGCTGTTTAACATTCTGTGTGCTGTTTCACATTCCGTGTGCTGTTTAACATTCTGTGTGCTGTTTAACATTCTGTGTTGCTTTTTTCACATTCTGTGTGCTGTTTCACATTCTATGTGCTGTTTCACATTCTGTGTGCTGTTTCACATTCTGTGTGCTGTTTTACATTAAAGAACATCTTCTAATTTTAGGACCACGACATTGGTTTTCTTAAAGTTTTCTGAATTTCAATGACCTCTTCCTCTAAATCTATTATTCGGCCAATTTTTGTGCCTTCAGAGAATATTTTTTAACACCATTATTTCTTTGTCAAGGTTCCTGATGTATATCATGCCGAATAAGACGTTAAAAAGTGATCCTTCTGGGAAGTCACTTGCGGCTTGACCCATTCTGATCTCACCCTATTTATACAAACTCTTCGCTTCCTATTAACTAGCATGCATCTAGCCACGAGGAATTTTTTTCTCTAAAACTGTGTTGCCACTTTCTTAACAGTCACCACTGTGGAATTCAGTCAAAAGCCATACTAAAATCCAAATGAATAACGTCATATTCCTTATCAATGCCCACTTCCTGATGGTCAATAAATTTGTCAGGATAGGAGGGACCCCAAGTGAATCTTTGATGTGACTCATTAATCAAAATATACTCATCAAGCTAGGCTCGTATTATATTGGTTATTCTTGATTTTATGAATGTGCTTATAGGTGTAATGGAGATCAAGCTTATTGGAAGGTAATTTGATGGCATGGATTGATCCCCAGAGTTTTTTTTTTTGTATTTTTTATTAACACATCGGGCCGTCTCCCACCAAGGCAGGGTGGCCCAAAAAGTAAAACTTTCATCATCATCATTCACTCCATCACTATCTTGCCACAGGTGCGCTTACACTACAGTTATAAAACTGCAACATTAACACCCCTTCTTCAGAATGCAGACACTGCACTTCCCATCATTAGGACTCATGTCAGGCCTGCCGGTTCCCCTGGATCCCTTTGTAAATGTTACCTTGTTCACACTCCAATAGCACGTACGTAAAGCCCTAAAAACAATTTGTCTCTATTCACTCCTATCTAACATGCTCACGCATGCTTGATGGAAGTCAAAGCCCCTTGCACACGAAACCTCCTTTACCCCCTCCTTCCAACTTTTCCTAGGCCGACCCCTACCCCGCCTTCCCTCCACTACAGATTTCTAAACTCTCGAAGTCATTCTATTTTGTTCCATCTTCTCTACATGTCTGAACCACCTCAACAACCCCTCCTCAACCCTCTGGATAATAGAGTTCGTAATTCTGCACGTCCTCCTAATTTCCAAACTACGAATTCTCTACATTAAATTTACACCACACATTGCCCTCAGACATGACATCTCCACTACCTCGAGCTTTCTCCTTGCTGCAACATTCGCCACCAATGTTTCACACCCATATATGAATGTTGTTATAACTATACTCTCATATATTCTCCTCTTTGCTTCCATGGACAAAGTTCTCTGTCTCCACAGACTCCTAAGTGCGCCACTCACCCTTTTCCCCTCGTCAATTCTATGATTCTCATCTTTCATAGACTCATTTGCTCACATATCCACTCCATTCACCCCCTCCATACTCTCTCCCTCCAATCTGATATCCAATCTTTCGTCACCTAATTTTTTTGTTATCCTCATCACCTTACTCTTTCATATATTCACTTTTAATTTTCTTCTTTTACATGCCCTACCAAACTCATCCAACAACCTCTGCAACTTCTTTTCAGAATCTTCCAAAAGCACAGTGTCATCAGCAAAGAGCAACTGTGGCAACTCCTATTTTGTGTTAGATTCTTTATCTTTTAACCCCACACCTCTTGCCAGCACTCTAGCATTCACTTCTCTTACAAACCCATCTATAAATATATTAAACAACCATGGTGACATCACACATTCATGTATAAGACCTACTTTAACTGGGAAATAATCTCCCTCTCTCTTACATACTCTAACCCGAGCCTCACTATCCTCGTAAAACACTTCACTGCTTTCAGTAACCTACCTCCTATTCCATACATTTGCAAGTTCTACCACATTGCCCCCCTATTCACCCTGTCATACTCCATTTCCAAATCCATAAATGCCACAAAACGTCTTTACCCTTATCTAAATACTGTTCTCCTATATGTTTCAATGTAAACACTTGTTCCACACACTCCCTACCTTTCCTAAAGCCTCCTTGTTCATCTGCTATCCTACTCTCCGTCTTACTCTTATTCTTTCAATAAAACCTGTACCATACACTGTCAGGTATACTCAGCAGACTTATTCCTTTATAATATCTGCACTCATTTTTGTCCCCTCTGCCTTTATGCAAAGGAACTATGCATGCTCTCTGCCAACCCCTAGGTACCTTACCCTTTTCCATACATTTATTAAAAAATAGCACCAACCACTCTAAAATTATATCCCCACCGGCTTTCAACATTTCTATCTTCATCCCATCAATCCCAGCTGCCTTACCCCCTTTCATTCTACTCACTGCCCCACGCACTTCCCCTACACTCACAACTCGATCCTCCTCACTCCTACAAGATATTATTCCTCCTTGCCCTGTACACGAAATCACAGCTTCCCTCTTTTCATCAGCATCTAACAATTCTTCAAAATATTCTCCAGCTTCCTGATACCTCAAACTCTCTATTTAGTAACTCTCATCTCCTATTTTTAACTCTCAAATCAGGCGTTCCCTAGGCTTCCTCAGCTTATTAATCTCACTCCATAACTTTTGTTGAGTTGAAGGTACTAATTACATTACCTGTTTCTATATCATTGCGGTATATTGAGCAGGCGAATCAGCGATCACTAGGTTCCATTTTGCACTCCAAAAGTTCCCATAACAAGTGCGTTTGGTCTCGTCGACGTATTTTGCTTAAGTTAGGATTGGTATGAATACCTTAGATTAGGTTAGGTTATCATTGGTTGCACAAGCTTAAAAAAAAGTTTTATTTATCCACAAAAAAATAAAAATTAATTATGGCGACATGTCAGGCAACGTAATAAATGATCAACGCCAGGAAACTTTCAAATATGGACAAGTATGAAACAAGGTGGCACAGTTGGATGCTAAACAGAAGCTGGTGTGAGACACGGGCGAGTCTTCCCTCAGCAGTTTATTAGGCGACGAGAAGGCAGACAGACGGCGCCTTGATCCTCCTGTCCTCTCCTACACTGACTTTTATTAAGTGATAATATATACCGACAAATCGCCATATATATATATATATATATATATATGTCGTGCCGAATATGTAAAACTGGTCAATTAGCAAGAACCCACTTAAAATTAAGTCCTTTCTAAAATTTTCTCTTTTACGTTTAAAGACATATTTTTTCATTAATGTTAATGTAAAAAAAATTCATTTAGCTCCAAAAGAATCTTAGAAAACTTACCTAACCTTATTATAAGAAGAACAATTTATTTTAGCCTAACCGAACTAAATATATTTTAGATTTGTTTATAGTAATTTAATATTAAACAAACACAGTGACATATATTTTTTTTCGTTAGGTTCAGAATGATTTTGGCGAAATTATTGCATACACAAATTTTCACTTGTCCTATATGGCAAGATGAGAGTTGCTATTTAAGCCAAGATCGCAAGTTCTGCCTATTCTGCACGACATATATATATATATATATATATATATAATATATATATATATATATTATATATATATATATATATATATATATATATATATATAATATATATATATATTAATATATATAATATATATATATATATATATATATATATATATATATATATATATATATATATATATATATATATATATATATATATATATATATATATTATATATTTGTATGTGCTGTGTGTTTGGTGCAGGGTCGAGTCAGAGGTGTGAGATGGTTGCAGGTGAGGAAGAAGCTTGGTGGTTTCCTTGCTCTGATGGTCGATGTATTCCCTCAAGGCTGCGATGTGACTGGAAGGTTGATTGTCTTCATGGAGAAGATGAGAAGGACTGCCGTAAGTAACTTGTTAAGTCTAACTATTGGCCATTCTAAATATTTTTTTTTTCATTTAATACTAATTGATATTAATGTAAACTATTTAATAATGACTGGTGGTTTGACAGTCACTTGAGGTATATATGATTCTACAGTTTTAAAAACCTGTAATACTGACTAGCACTTATTGGTACTAGGTAATAACTGTTGTTAATCATGAGAAGTAGATAATACTATTGTGAGATTACTGGAACTAAATAATATTAGTGTGGGATTACTGGAAATAGGTAATATTAATGTGGAGTCACTAGAAATAGATAATGTTAGTGTGGGGTCTGTGGAAATAGATATTATTATTGTGAGGTCAGTGGAAATAGACAATATTACTGGAACTTTTTTTACTGTTTAACAATACCTCTCATTGTAGCTTCCTAACTCTCAGTAACTATCAATATAAGTCACTGACTATTAATGTGATGACTCAGCTGTCAATGTATATCGGTACCCATGAATGGTACTTCCCATCTAGCTAAGATGACCAAAAACTAAGAACATTTGTCACCATTCACTCAATGACTGTCTGGCCAAAAGCGCACAGACATCACAGTTCAAAAAATATTGTGATGTTTAACATCTTCATGCAACCTTCAGAGTGCAGGCACTATATTTCCCACCATAAGAACTGTAAAATACTCATCCCGCCTTCAGACTACAGCCACTGTACTTGCCACCTATAGAACTGTAACATCCTCACCTCTCTTCAGAGTACATGCACTATACTTCCCACCTGCAAAACTGTAACAACCTCACCTCTCCTTCAGAGTGCAGGCACTGTATTTCCCACCACCAGAACTGTAACATCCTCATCCCTCCTTCAGAGGACAGCCACTGTACTTCTTACCTCCAGAACTACGACATCCTCGCCTCTCTTCAGAGTACAGGCAATGTACTTCCCACCTGTAAAACTATAACAACCTCACCCTTCCTTCAGAGTGAAGGCACTGTACTTACCATCTCCAGAATTGTAACATCCTCACCTCTCCTTCAGAGTACAGACTCTGTAATTTCCACCTCCAGGACCGTAACATCCTCACCCACCCTAAGATTCGAGACCAGCGAATCGGTTTCCCTGAATCCTACATAAATATAACGATGTTCACACCCTAAAACCACTTAAAGTCTTAAAACCTACTTGTATCCATTATCTCTGATGGAACTTGCTCACATAAGCCTGTTGTTTGCTCACACCTCTAGCAGTCAAAGCGTCCTCGACCACCTCCCTTCACCCCTTCATGGAACACCCCACTAACCCTCCCTCCATCCACCTCACAGTCTTCAAATCTCCAAGCTCATGATTCTCTACATAATAATAACACCACACATTACTCTCAAACATTATATATCTATTATCTCCAGCCTCCTCCTCGCTTCTACGATCAGAATCCATGCCTCACACTCATATAATAATGTACCACGATACTCTGGTACATATTCCTCTTTGCCTTCTAGAATAAAATTCCTTGTATTGCCAGATGCAGTAAAGCCTTTGAAGGATCCATCTGCAAACAAAGTTCACTCCTATATATATGAATTCCTTTATGTCATTTTTCATCCTCTTATCTGATACCCAGTCTGTCAATGCCTTAATTTTTCTGTCACTTTCATTATCCTGCTCAGTTGTACGTTCACTTGTAATTTCTTTCTGACATATAAACTCCCAATTTTATCCACCAATTTCAGCAACGTTTCTTCAGAATCTGCTGAAAGAACTTTGTCATCAGCAAAGAGTAACTTTGACAACTCATATTTTGTATCTAATTCGGTATCATCTAATTCCACGCCTTTCCTCGACACCAGCGTCCTCTTCATTTACAAACACATCCATTAATATGTTAAACAACCATGTTAACATCTTATATCCCTGTTAAAATCCCACTTTTACTAGCAAATAATTCCCTTCTCTCTTTCATACCCTATTTTGAGCCTCATTATTTGCATCAAAACTCATTACTGCTTTCAGTAACGTACTGACTCCTCCATTTATCTGTAAAATTTATCAAAATTATGTGACAAAAATACCGTCCTCAGACCACGTCTTCAAAGTTAATAGATTGATCACTTCATCTTTACCTCTCTACTGTTGTTGTCTTCATATTTGCCACCCATGTATTCAGCTAATGAAGCCTGCCGTGTAGGCGATACGTCTAGGAACAAATATACCCATCTGCTGCACATGTATCTTACTCTTCTTTTTGGAAAATTTGCCACATTTTTTCTGTATATAAACGCGTTAATTATTGTATAAATGCAAGAAACGTTTATAACCTTATTTAATTATTATTCAGTCTTGTGCTTCATTATTAAAACACTTGTTATGCATATTATAACAATTCCATATTCCTCTATAATCTTTCTATTTTACCCCCTAACTCTTTTAATAAGAATTTTATGATACGCTCTGCCTGGTATACTCAACATTCTAACATTCTTATACCTTCTTTTGTCCCTATTCCTAGCAACTAGGTGAGTACAAATAGGAAGCGCGTCTGTCTGGCGTTCAGCAGACGGAGGATCAAGCCTCCACGTCATGCGCTGAATGATCCCCATGGATTTAGCGCTTAACATAAATTATATATGTCCTTATTCCTTGATACAAAGAAATAATGCATGTTTTATGCCAGACCTTAGGTACCCTCCCTTTTTTCAAACATCAACTGAACAAATGCATCAACCAATCTTAAAACTGCACACACACACACACACACACACACACACACACACACACACACACACACACACACACACACACACACACACACACACACACACACACACACACACACACACAGACCAGTGTCACTGACGTGTATTGTATGTAAAGCCATGGAGATTATCTGGAGGAGAATGGAGGAGAACCTAGAACGGAACAAGCTTATAAACGACAACATTAAAGGAAGGAAAATCCTGTGTTATAAACCTACTAGATTTTCATGACAAGGTGACAGAAGTAAGGCACGAGAGAGAGGGGTGGGTAGATTGCATTTTCTTAGAGTGCAAGAAGGTCTTCGACACAGTTCCTCACAAGAGATTAGTGCAAAAGCTAGAGGATCCGGCATACATAACAGGAAGGGCACTGCAATGGATCAGAGAATACCTGACAGGGAGACAACAACGAGTCATGGTACGTGATGAGGTGTCACAGTGGGCGCCCGTGACGAGCGCCGGGTTCCACAGGGTCAGTCCTAGGAGCAGTGCTATTTTTGGTATATGCGGATGACATGGCGGAAGGGATAGACTTAGAAGTGTCCCTGTTTGCAGATGATGTGAAGTTAATGAGGAGAATTAAATCGGTCGAGGATCAGGCAGGACAAAGAGACCTGGACAAGCTGCAAGTCTGGTCCAACAATTGGCCAAATGTAAAGTCATGAAGATCGGGGAAGGGCAAAGAAGACCGCAGACATAATATGGGCTAGGTGGCCAAAGACTGCAACCTCACTCACGAAAAGGATCTTGGGGTGAGTATAATACCGAGCACATCTGAGACGCACGCAAAAACAAATAACTGCTGCAGCATATGGGCGTCTGGTAAACCTGAGAATAGTGTTCCGATACCTCAGTAAGGAATCGTTCAAGACTGTACACCATGTTCGTCAGGCCCAAACTGGAGTATGCAGCACCAGTCTGGAACCCACACCTGGTCAAGCAGGTCAAGAAATTAGAGAAAGTGCGAAGGTTTGCAACAAGATTAGTTCCAGAGCTAGGGGTAATGTCCTGTGAAGAAAGGTTAAGGGAAATTGGCTTGACGACACTTGAGGACAGAAGAGTTAGGGAAAACATGATAACGACATGCAAAACAGTGCGAGGTGGATAGAGACAGGATATTCCAGAGATGGGACACAGAAACAAGGGGTCACATTTGGAAGTTAAAGACTCAGATGTGTCAGAGGGATGTTAGGAAGTATTTCTTTAGCCATAGAGTTGTAAGGAAGTGGAATAGTCTGGCTAGTAATGTAGCGGAGGCAGGAACAATACATAGTTTTAAGACGAAGTTTAATAAAGCTCATGGAGCAAGGAAAGAGAATACCTTGTAGCTAACAGTGAAGAGGCGGGGACAGGAGCTATGAATCGACCCCTTGTAACCACAAATAGGTGAGTACAAATAGGTGAGTACACACACGCACACACACACACACACACACACACACACACACACACACACACACACACACACACACACATACACACACACACAAACTACAAGAAAGGGGACTACACAGGAATAGGAACTACCTGAACGGGGTTCAGTGGGACAGAGAACTGGCAGGGAAGCCAGTTAAGAGATGATGGAATATGTAGCAATAAATTGCAAGGAGGCTGAGGAGAGGTTTGTACCAAGGGTAACAGGAGTAATGAAAAAGCCAGGATGAGCCATGGTTTACCCAAAGGTGCAGGGAGGCAAAAACCAAGTGTGCTAGGGAATGGAAGAAATATAGAAGGCAAAGGACCCAGGAGAATAAGGAGAACAGTCGTAGAGCCAGAAATGAATATGCACAGATAAGAAGGGAGGCCCAAAGACAATATGAAAATGACATAGCAGCGAAAGCCAAATCTGACCCAAACTGTTGTACAGCCACATCAGGAGGAAAACAACAGTCAAGGACCAGGTAATCAGGCTAAGGAAGGAAGGAGGAGAGACAACAGAAATGACCGGGAAGTATGTGAAGAACTCAACAAGAGATTCAAAGAAGTGTTCACAGAGGAGACAGAAGGGACTCCAGAAAGACGGAGAGGTGGGGCACACCACCAAGTGCTGGACACAGTGCACACAACCGAGGAAGAAGTGAAGAGGCTTCTGAGTGAGCTAGATACCTCAAAGGCAATGGGGCCAGATAACATCTCCCCATGGGTATTGAGAGAGGGAGCAGAGGCGCTATGTGTACCCCTAACAACAATATTCAATACATCTATCGAAACAGGGAGATTGCCTGAGGCATGGAAGACAGCAAATGTAGTCCCAATCTTTAAAAAAGGAGACAGACATGAAGCATTAAACTACAGACCAGTGTCACTGACATGTATAGTATGCAAAATCATGGAGAAGATTATCAGGAGAAGAGTGGTTGGAACACCTAGAAAGGAATGATCTCATCAACAGCAGCCAGCATGGTTTCAGGGACGGGAAATCCTGTGTCACAAACCTTCTGGAGTTCTATGACATGTGACAGCAGTAAAAGACAAGAGAGAGAGGGGTGGGTGGATTGCATTTTCTTGGACTGCAAGAAGCGTTTGACACAGTTCCACACAAGAGATTGGTGCAAAAAACTGGAGGACCAAGCAGGGATAACAGGGAAGCACTACAATGGATCAGGGAATACTTGTCAGGAAGACAGCAGCGAGTCATGGTACGTGGCGAGGTGTCAGAGTGGGCACCTGTGACCAGCGGGGTCCCGCAGGGGTCAGTCCTAGGACCAGTGTGTTTCTGGTATTTGTGAACGACATGACGGAAGGAATAGACTCTGAGGTGTCCCTGTTTGCAGATGACGTGAAGTTGATGAGAAGAATACACTCGATCGAAGACCAGGCAGAACTACAAAGGGATCTGGACAGGCTGCAGAACTGGTCCAGCAATTGGCTCCTGGAGTTCAATCCCACCAAGTGCAAAGTCATGAAGATTGGGGAAGGGCAAAGAAGGCCGCAGACGGAGTACAGTCTAGGGGGTCAGAGACTACAAAACCTCACTCAAGGAAAAAGATCTTGGGGTGAGTATAACACCAGGCACATCTCCTGAAGCGCACATCAACCAAATAACTGCTGCAGCATATGGGCGCCTAGCAAACCTCAGAACAGCATTCCGACATCTTAATAAGGAATCGTTCAGGACCCTGTACACCGTATACGTTAGGCCCATATTGGAGTATGCGGCACCAGTTGGAACCCACACCTAGCCAAGCACGTAAAGAAACTAGAGAAAGTGCAAAGGTTTGCAACAAGACTAGTCCCAGAGCTAAGAGGTATGTCCTACGAGGAGAGGTTAAGGGAAATCAACCTGACGACACTGGAGGACAGGAGAGATAGGGGGGACATGATAACAACATACAAAATACTGAGAGGAATTGACAAGGTGGACAAAGACAGGATGTTCCAGAGATTGGACACAGTAACAAGGGGACACAGTTGGAAGCTAAAGACACAGATGAATCACAGGGATGTTAGGAAGTATTTCTTCAGCCACAGAGTAGTCAGTAAGTGGAATAGTTTGGGAAGCGATGTAGTGGAGGCAGGATCCATACATAGCTTTAAGCAGAGGTATGATAAAGCTCACGGCTCAGGGAGAGTGACCTAGTAGCGATCAGTGAAGAGGCGGGGCCAGGAGCTCGGACTCGACCCCCGCAACCTCAACTAGGTGAGTACAACTAGGTGAGTGAGTACACACACACACACACACACACACACACACACACACACACACACACACACACACACACACACACGAACACACACACGCACGCTCACACGTACGCGAGCGCGCGCGTGTGTGTGTGTGTAAAACTCTCACTATATTGCCCTAGCTGTCAATATCTGTCAGTTTTGGTCATTACGTGTCAAGTGTTATTATTGTTGCAGCTGTGAGTGAGTGTGATGATGAGCAGTGGCAGTGTGCAAGTGGTCAGTGTGTTCAACACAACGACAGATGTGACCTCCACTTCGACTGTTACGATAAATCTGATGAAATGAACTGCA